GTTGATCTCATCATCAGCCGACGGCTTATCCTCCCCCTCTTGAACCACAATGTCCTCATTGTCCTTAGGTGCAACCCTCGGTGGAAGCTCTTTCCCACTTTATAGTGTAATAGCGTTTTCGTATTCCTTGGGATTCTGCTCACACTTTCCCGGTAAACTACTTTGACCACTTGTACTTGATTTACCCTTCTCTAACTGCTTGATCTTGTTGTTTAGAGTTGTTATCTGAGTAGAGACATCAGTGAGAGAGGAGTCTAAATGGTTGTTCATCTCGGCGAACTTCTGATTTGTGGAAGCTTGCCCTTGAAGCAACTGCTGGAACATGGCTTGTACAGGATCAACTTGTTGCGGTTGCATCTGTTGTTGAGGAACAAAGCCTAGAGGGTACATATGAGTATAAGGTTTGTTTCCTTGCTGCTGCTGCTGTCCCTGAAAGTTACCTTGGCGCTGACCTTGAAAACCACCACTCGGCTGAAAACCTTTGTTGTAGGGCAAAAACGGTTTAGCTTGTTGAGGAGGGTACACCTGATCCTTTGGGTTTTCAACGTTGGTACTTCTATAAGACAAGTTATTGTTACCTTGGTAGCCTTGAGAGTAACCTTGAGTTTTGTAGTTGTTTTGACCGGCTACCCAATTAGTTTCTTCTTCTTGGCATTGCTCTAGCTCATCCAAGACATCCGCGGCTTCACCAAGCTTTTGGTTAGCAAGTATGAGCTTATATATCTTCTCATGTAGAGACTTCATTTCCTTCTTGTTGGTTTCAAGATCAGCTCCTCTTGGTGCACGGTCATAGTCCTCTGAATAGTTTCCATCACTTAACGCCAATTTTTCAATTAGCTTCATGCCTTCCTCAACCTCTTGACCAAGGAAGTTTCCTTTGCTTGTCGTGTCAAGTAGTAACCTGATCTTTGGAAGTGCTCCGCGGTAGATAGTACTCAATAAGGTCTCTTCACTGAAACCGTGGTGAGGGCAAGCGATTGTGTAATCCTTAAAGCGCTCCATAGCCTCGTTGAATGACTCATTCTATCTCTGAGTGAAGCCACTGATCTCGCGTCGCAACCTTGCTGCCCGAGAGCTTGAGAAAAACTTGGAGAGGAAAGCTTTCTTACAGTCAGCCCAAGAAGTGATAGTGCCTTGCGGAAGAGTCTTCTCCCAATGCCGTGCCTTGTCGCCTAAGGAAAAGGGGAACAGGCGCAGCTTGAAGCTGTCTTCTGAGATGCCATTTATCTTTAGCATTCCACAAAGCTGCTCGAAGTTGTCTAGATGCGCCAATGGGTCCTCCAAAGCTAACCCATGAAATTTGTTGTTTTGCACCATCTGAACAAACCCTGGCTTGATCTCGAAATTATTGTTCTGCACCGGAGGAGGAGTGATCCCAAACCTATTATGGTGAGTATTGGGAGCATCTCCCGCTCCAATGATACGTGGGGGTCTACCCGCGTGGTGGTGGTTTCCATTACCCCTTCCCACTGCCCCGTGAGCTGGAGGAGGTCCCTCTGGGTGCTCGTGCTCAGCCATCGCTTCAAAATCCACTGAACCTTGCTGAACAATCTCCTCAAAGGCTCTAGCTTGTTCTCGAACTCTTCTTGATCTTGCATTGCCAAGCTGATGAATATTGTCCAAGGGCGTGAGTAGGTTGTTGTCACTCTTGGAACGCAGATTCATGTACCTGAAAGACACAAGTTTGAGAGTAGAGAAATCAGTAACCAACTTAAAGTAAAGGCTTAGTCTTTACCAAACCCCAAATCTTAATGCTTTCTATCCCCTAAGATGGCAACGGCGCCGTTTGATAAGCGTTTTTCTTAGTGCAATGATATGTCAAGATACAACAGAGAGGTTATCAAAGCTCTAATCCACACAGAGATGTGAGCAATAGAGATATCAATCCACAGCTAGGGGTAGCAAGATCACTAAGAATGCAAAGGATGAGTAAAGCTAAGCTAAAATGATAATTGTTTGGTAAAATCCCTAAAAACTAAATGCAAGTGTCAAATGCAAGGCAAAACAATTTTAAAATCCCTGGAAGAGGGTTAACTACCACGAGGAACAAGCGGGATAATTAAAATGCAAAGCTACTAATTATTAAAAATTGACTAGTGGATCGACCACATGATCGACCACTAGATCGAGCAACAACGATCGATCTACTAACAGCTTAAACAGAAATGAATCTAACGACCAAGATGCGAACAGATAGCAAGCGAATGATTAACAGAGATGAGAAAATACTAAGAAAGAGGGTCCAGGGTTGAGAATCATGTTCAAGGGTTTCAAAGGTTCAAGCTTGGTTTGAAAACTTTAGATCTACTCACTTTGTGAGACTCTCTAGGCCTTGAAAACAAAACAAGATCCATCCATGGCGTGTGGTATGGATCACTCCTTCATTCTCTTCTCCAAACCCATGGCTTTTGGTGGAAAAAGAGATTGAAGGGCATAAAACACAGATTTCGAACACATGGCCTAACTAATCCCCTAAACGACCATGGCGTGTGGGAAAGGAAGGATTAGCCTCTAGGATTTGACTTCTCCAGGACATCTGAATCCTGTCAAGGTAAGATATCCCTCTGATCATAAAGATCTTGGCGTGAGAGTCTTTAAGCCTTAAGTGCTCAAATCCTAGAAGAGAAGGCGATGAAGAACAAGAAAACACCAAACTTTAAACTTTTTCAACCCCTTTGAATCCTCTCAACCCCGAAAACCCGATGAAACTATTCACTACTCATAAAGTAAACCGAACAAAATGCAATGGATGATTGACTAAACATGAAAACGGTAGATTAAAAGCAAATATTCAATATTCAAAACATAAAAGTAAGAAAAGCTTCGAAAGTCTACATTGGCGATTCGTCTAAAAACGAGAGAGATGGAAAAAATAGTCGACAGGATGGGGGTAATGAAAGGGATCTTTGCCTTTTGCCAAAAATGGCCAAACCGCAAATGGTCCCCCCCCCCCCTTCGCTACGGTCCAAAAACCAGTTGGACAGATAAGGTTGGTCTGGGATCGATCACGAAGCTCGATCTGGCACTCGATCTTGTCTTGGATCGGATGGCTCTTGGTCGATCTAGTGCTGATCGGGTTGAAAGCTCGATCCGGTCCTCGATCTGCATGGCGTCGTTTACGTCCGTACTTCAGATCGATCTCCACACTCGATCTTCTGGTCGATCTCGTCTAGATCGACCTGCTTTGCTCGATCTGCTACTCGATCTCAGGTCCTAAGCATGCAATCCTGATTTCTCCAAGTGTCCATGAACTTCCTCACGAGCCTTAGCACGTCCACGAATCTCCAATAGCTCCAAAGTAACCGAAAACAACCTGAATGCGATGCAAAATGCAAGAAACATGCAAATGCTGGTGCAAAAGTACTCTAGGACCTAAAGTGATGCAAACTAGCCTAAAATGCAAGGTAAATGCATGAGAAACTATCTTATATGTATGCAAAACACATGAAATATGCAGCAATATCAACAAGCCATTTCCAAGTTATTGACCAAATATTGACTTGTTGACTAGGTTTCTTTTATGTTGACTAAGTCTATTTTGGGTCTCACTTATAAATAGACTTACTCACAAAAACATTATCTTATCCTGTTTTTGTTGCTTTTTTCCATCTAAACTAAGAATTTTCTTTTATCTTTGTAAGAACTTTCTTTAAGAGAAAATCTTAATCTTGAGAATTATTTTAATTAAAAGTCTTGTTCTTTCTTGTTTATCTTTGTCTTTATCTATTTGCAATCATGTTTAGCCATAAATTTGTGGATTTAAATATGATTAGTGAGTAGTCTACTTTTAGACTTAAGATTAAGGTAGATTAAGGTGGTTTGATGATTGATTAAGGTGTTAGGTTGTTAGATCTTTGTTAATTTCTTTTTATGTGATTGTGCTTAAAGCCAATTATCTTCCATTGTGAGAAATAGATCCTAGGCGTCATTGACTTGCATCTAAGGTGTTTGTTAATATGCTTGAATGAAGTTCATAGCTTGAAAAATGGTGTTTTGATTGTCATGGCTCATTGCATCTATCATTTCTTGCATGATTGATCTTACTGCTAAAGTATTTTAGAAATTGAGAAATTGCAATTAAAAAATTATTATGCATGGATGTGTGAATTAGTGTTTGAATCATTACATAAGAGGTTAGTGTACTTAGTATAAGAAATTAATTATCAAAGATGCTTTTTGACTCTATAAACCTTGTGTTTAATGCCTAGGAGTATGATTATTAGAGGAATTAGTGCCAAGAAATTAGATTAATTTTTATTAGTAGTCTTAGCTTAGAGATTGATACATTAATTGTTTGTTTTACATATTGACTATAATTTAAACCACCTAAGTCACATTACCTTAATCTTAATTTTAGTTTTTTAATATTTCGAACTTTATCAAATTCTGCTCTATTCTATTCTGTTTTACTTGCTTTTAAATTATTCTTTTATTAAATTCTAATCATAATGGTTACTTGTTGTCACTTATTATTTATTTGAGTATAAAATTTTTTATTACCTAATTTTACAAATTTGTTACATTTTCTTTAAATATTTCTAAGTTATGGATTGATATATTCATATGTTACTATATTACATCTAATGCAATAAAATTGAACTCAAAACATAAAATAAATTATATCAAATACTAATTTTGATATATCTAATTTTATATAATATTAATATATAATAAATAATAATAATAATAATTTTTCTTATCATATTTTTGTCAATAAAATTAAAAGTTCAAAAACCGTACAGAATCTAGTTTAATAATTACATAATTTCAAAGTAAGATGAATAATAAATAAACATTTCAAATCTATTTTAGTAAAAAACTTTAGTAGAAAAGAGAATATCTGATCCGATAACTATACCTAAGTTCTAATTTTTCTCTAATTATATTTGTTGTCGTGCATGCCTGACACGTGACGAGGATGCGCATGCATACACGTCCTCTTTTGGCAAAACGAAGCTTTCGCTGTGCCAAGTGTTAGCGACTTTAACGAATTTTATCACGAAAGAGTAATTTCAAACATGAAAATGTTATAAACAAAAAGGGCACAGTCCCAACACAGTTTATTCTCTTTGCCTTTGCTTTCGTTCTATCCTCATTTGCTTCACTGTTGTTATTACCAGAAAAATAAGAACTGAAAAATCAAATTGTGCGAAGAGGAATGTTCTTGCCTACGAAGATGTCCCTCTCTTTCTACATCATTCATCTTCTCATCTTCTCCTTGATTTCAACTTCTGTTATCTCCAACCGTACGCTCTTTCCCTCTCTCTCTCTTAGTGTAATAATTAACACTGATTGTTTTTTCTTTTTTTTCTTCTTTTTTTTTGCTAAGAAACATTATGATAAAATAAAAAATCAAACATTATGATTATATAGAAACTCGTATACTTATAAATGAATTGTCACGTACGTAACTGCACCTATTATTTTATATATTAGGAGAAGATATATGTTGAGGATGTTAGGTTACAAAAAAAAGGATGTTAGCTACTTCTTGTGGATTTTTTGGTATAGCGAAACTAATGCATTATAACAATACTTTAACCAAACAGAATGTATTATAACAATTTTATGGGGTCGTTGGCCATTAGTTTTACGCGCTTAATATTTGACTTAAGTTTTTTTTATCAATGCATGTTTATTTAAATCGTTAGCTATGCATATGATTTCAACTTCGTTCTTTTTATTCTTAGTAGATTCAATCTTTCACACTGATGGATCTACCGTTTTTGTAATGTTATAGAGGAAGAGGATAATCTTCTTCAAGGCCTAAACAGCTACCGAACTTCTCAAAGAGTTCCACCTTTTGCAAAGAACGACAAGGCGGATTGTGTGGCCGATGAGATAGCCGACAAGCTAGAAGATGAGCCATGCACAAACAACACTGCAGCCAGCACAGTTACTCCTGGATCAGTCCCTCCACGATTGAACTACCAAGAAATTCTCTCTGAGTGCAAGGTCGACCCAAACAGTACCCGTGACGGATTAATCTTACCTGTTTGTATCCCGAACCGGATCCCTACTTTGGCTTTAACCAACTACACACAAACCGGTTATGCCCGGTATCTGAATGATTCGAGGTATGTTGGGGCTGGTGTTGGGTCGGAGAAAGAGTGGATGGTTGTTGTGTTGACAACGAGCACTCCGGGTGGAAGCTTTGCTAGAGGCGATGCGACGTCCGTGAGTGTGATGGCTTGGTTAGGGCTTACGGGGTTGTTGTTTAGTTTCCTTTTGGTCTTGTGAGCTAATGTTGTTTTTACGTTTTGTGTGAAGACGCTTTTGTATCTCGTATGCTTGTTTGATGACGGGACACCAAAATGACGAATCATGGCAATCATATTAACTAAAAAACATAACGGAGGCAGAGTAGGTCGTAGAAATCTTTATAGTTGTGTAGAATTAGTCGAGTAGATATCAATCAAATTCGTTTAAAGTCTTATCGATATAAGATATATCGACATGAAACCCGTATAATTTGTGACCTAATTAATCCTTATCAAACTATGGGGCATGAACTTATCCCAATTACTTGCTCGCTCAAGAATATGTTTTAGAGTTTCTGCCTAACAGGGTTAACGATCGACGTCAATGTGAATGGTTTTGGATAATATTTAGTGACTGACCGATGCCTAACTATTTCAACAAACTTCAAAGCCATTTTATTTCTCTATTCACACTTCCGGTTTAATCAATAAGTGAAAATAGTAGGTCTTACGGTAATTGTTTGTAAACATGCTCCTGGGATTTTAATAAAAACATATTAATATTAATATCTTAGAGGTTTTCTACATTTTTCTCAAAAAATTAGTAGTGGAAAAGCAGATATACACATAACTAGACGAGTCGTGCTGTTAAAGTTTCAATGTTTTGATATAGTGGAATGATAATTCAAATAATTTCAAAGAGCTGTGGTGTACATTATAGTCTATAAATTGTGATGTTCTTTTTATTATTATAACAAAGCGATGGCTTCTAAATCATCAATTGACATAGGTAGTCAGTGTGTTTACTAAGTATAAAAGATGTTTCCTACCTACAAATAATGTACAAGCATTGATTTGTGCAAGAAACTAGTACCTGACTTTCAAGATATCGGGAACTTACATTTACATTATGATGGTAATGATTATTTGGTTCAAAAATTGGTAACTGGTTGGTTATAAAATTTTATTTGGTTTTGCATATTTTGAGATGATTATTTGGTTTAAAATTTGGTAACTGGTTGGTTATAAAATTTTATTTGGTTTTGCATATTTTGAGCATACTCCAGCCGGGACATTCAGACTTTTAACTTATACTGCCTGCTTCATAAATTACGTAGGTCTAAATTTCCATGGCTGCCACCGTTCTACCGCAATGCGGACTGGGGCAAGCCCACCCAGTTGACACCTCTAGATTCTTGGATGTTTTTACAAAGAAACATAAACTAACAATCTCTCTAATGGGTAGTAGCTAAGTAGTTGTTTAGATTACAACCAAAATTAAAATACTTGAATATTCAGTCTTCGTAGTACAGCTTCTTCACTACGCCCTCAAGAACACCGTCTGCCCCAAAATTACCGTTGAAGTCGTCATTACTCACAGGACCAGGAAGCTGGAAAGAGATGGTGAAGTGGCCCGGAGGACATAAGTTCTGTGTTAGCATCTTGAAGACCTGATTGTGTTTGCATACTGTCTTCTCCCCGGTCGTTGTTGCTCCCTTTATCAGAATCTTACCGTCTGGTTCTATATCGCAGCTGAAATCCTCTGTATGTTAAACAATGTCAGATTCAGCACAAGATACCTTTACGCATATGAGCCGCGTGCAAAGATAATAATGGACACTAATAGTAAAAGTACTAAAAGATAGGCATACAAGTTTGGGTAGTTCGAGTATTTTCGTTTGAGTAGTTTGGCTCGTCGGATAGTTCTGTTCGAGAACACTGAAATAACCAAAATAAATTATGGTTCGGTTCGATTTAGTTAGTTCCGGAATCAAAAACCGGTTCGGTTTTTTTGGGTTCAGATTCGGTTAAATTAGGTAGATTCGGGTACATTTGGTTAAATTGGGTAAATTCGGGTAGTTTTCGATTAAAAAATTTAAATTAAAATTTGGTATAATTAGATATGGTTCTGTATAATCGTGGTTTATAAACAAAACTATTAGAAAACAGTTAACTGATCCGAACCGATGACCCAATTATAATTTTCAAATGTTACCGATCAGTTCCACCAAAATAACCGAACCGGAACCGGAACCGGAATCGAGAACCGAAAAGCTTGGTTCGGTTCGGAAACTCCGGTTCAGGTAAAGGTTCTTCCAATTTTTTTTCAAAACTATCTTCAGCTCAGTGCAATTCTGAATAATATAAATAAATATGCTAATTGGAAACTTGACAAAGATGTGGAAAAGGATTGAGACTTCTTACTTTCATCTCTTGAAACACCAGGCAGTGAAACACGAAAGTAGTAAGCGTCATCGGATTCAGCAACATCAACCAAACCAATCGTAGGTCCAATCTTCCCCACGGCTGCACTTCCCGTGAGGGCAACTCCGGTTTTCGTTTGACTGATAAGGTTTTCAAACTCTGGAGTTGATTCAGAAGGCAGGAATATCATCGCTGGACCTCCTACTTTCTCTGCATTCTCATTCGCTTTGTTAACCGACATCGATGCATGACCGGTTAATGGACCGATGTAAGGCATACTGTTCAATGGAGCCACTTCAAGAACGTGCGGGTTCTCTCTCAACCCATTTTGAACACTTGAAGACCTGAAAGCACAACAACACGCCTGTGACTCATACGCTTGGATTTGTTATAAAACAGAATCATTTGAGAAACCTACATACAACATTGAATCTTTTGAAACAGCAAAGGCTGTTACTGAATACAAAGGCTGAATCTTTGAAACATTGAAAGACTATTGAACCGAGAATTATTAACAAGAGGTTGAGCTATAGAGGGCAACTAGAATTGAAATCAGTGGCAATGATGCATATGAAAACCAAAGACCATAGTGAATCTTGTATACGTAAATATACACATGTAGATCTTTTTACATTTTTATGCTTTCATGACTTCAAAACATAATCTACAAATCTTCCCTCATCTACATTTCGAATATCCACAATGCTAAGTTTAAACGCAAACACTATCAGATAAATACTCATCTTAATTTCCAATGTAATTCATACGAAAAATTAAACCTTTTATGCTTTCCTGACCACAAATTAGAGCAACAAAGACCTAGTCTTCGGTACATGGTCCTCCTTGAAGTTTTCAAACAAGGGTTTTGCCAAGAATGGACTGAGCATTTCAAGACCTGATGCACGATAGTTCCTATAAACAGAATCGTACATCGATTCTTTCAAAACAGCAGCGACTGTTATTGGATAAAAGGGCTGAATCTTGAAAAATTAAAATGCGATTGAACCGAGAATTTTCAGCAAGGGGTTGAACTATATAGGTTAATTTCAACTGAAAACAGTGACAATGATTCGAACAAGTAGAAAAACTAAGTCTTTAACCATAACCACAATCCCAGTTGCATATGAAAATCCAAGACATATTGAAATCTAGGTTACATAATGGCCTATATAACTATTAAAAAGGTATGTAGATAACAGATGACTTGAAAACATAATCTACAAATCTTCCCTCGTCTACTTTTCGAATATCCACAATGCTAAGTCTTGACGCAAATACTATCAGACATAACATTTATCTCAATCTCCGATGAAATTCATCCGCAAAAATCAAAACGTTTTATGCTTTCATGCCCACAAATTAGAGCCGATCTTCAGTATATGGTCCTCTTTGAAGTTTTCAAACAAGTGTTTTGCCAAAGAAATGAAGATCAACCACGAAATTTCTTAAACATCATTTCTTTTAAGACATCTTTTGAAGTTAAGAATCTTAGCAGGTTCTGAAACACTAAAAGGCTATTGAACCGAGAATTTTCAATAAGATGTTGAACTAGGACAATGAGAATTGAAATCAATGACAATGACTTCAAAACATAATCTACAAATCTTCCCTCATCTACTTTTGGAATATCCACAATGCTAAGTCTTAACGCAAACAATATCAGACAAAATACTCATCTTAATTTGCGATCAAATTTATACGAAACATTAAACCTTTTTCTGCTTTCATGGCAACAATTTAGAGCAACGAAGAGCTAATCTCCGGTACATGGTCCTCCCTGAAGTTTTCAAACAAGGGTTTTGCCAAGAAATGAAGATCAAACACAAAATTTTGTAAATATCATATTTTGTTAGACTTCATTTTGAAATTCCAATTTTAAGGTTGTTGCGCACAATTCGTCAAGCTTTACGCTTTCTAGTTTCAAACGACAAAATCAACTCAAGAAAGTAGGAATTTTCCCAATGATACGGACTAATTTCAATCACGGCACATGAGCAGGAACGAAAATTGAGGCTTCTTATTTTTAAGCAAATCAAATAATTTACCTCATCGGAGACGATGTTCAGAAGCCGCCAGCTGAAATTTTCCGAGGAGCTTGTTAGGTTTAGTTTGCCCTGTTTCTTTCACCGAGATCGGAAGAATACAAAAAACAAAAAACAAAAAACAAAAAACAAAAAAAAAAAAAGTGAGTGATCAAATCGATACTTTGTAGTTTGTCAATTGGGCTTAAGTTATTTCAGGTAGAGAATAAGGTGATACTGAGTGGCCATGGGGTCGAGTGGGTATGCTGATATATGAAAATTATTATCATACTTATTATTATTATTATTATTATTATTATTATTATTATTATTATTATAAAATTAGGTTCCGTCAATATAGAGGTTTATAATAATAAAATTTTAAATCTATTAATATAATTTTGAAAAAATAGAAAAAAAAAATCAGATTACCCATAAAAAATATGTTAAAAACATAAAATTAAAATTTAAGAATTATTTATTTTAATTTTTATTTATTTTCAGTTAATATATTCAAAATGGATAATCTATTGCAGGTTTTAAGCAACATTAACTATACTTTTTTGTAGTTTAATACTTTATCAATTTTTTTGTTTGTTTTACTGCGTTAAAACCTAGGTATACAATTTGAGTAATTTAAATATGTTAATTCTCTCAACATTAGCTCTCTCCAAGTACACATATATAGTTTCTTCTTCTCTTCGCATTTATTTTTCGTGTATAATCTCTCAGTTTTCTAAAGAAATTATGCTTCTTAAAACTTGCATCAAATAGTTCTCTACATGATTTTTGATGATCTTCCTCCTCAATGAGCATATCGTTGCCCAATGCTATATTATTAACATCTAAAATTTCATTTTTTGTAATTCTATGTTGTAAATTTTGCATGTAATTTTTTTTTGAAATTGTTTAATTATTAAATACCAAAAACACTTTAGATGAATATAATATTCAGCAAAGGAATCATAAAAGATAAAAATTTAGAATACCAAACAAATCATAGTAGATGAATCATATAAAGTTTTTTAATAATAATAATAATACAATAAAAGAAGGAAAATTATACATATAGAATGAAGCTCAAGAAAAATATTATTTTGTTTGGTGAAAATTTGTGAAAGACTTTAAGTGCTTATATAGATGTGGGTAGTAATTTTCCTTCTTAGTTTAAGATTAGTATTTTAGCTTACAGTAAAACCTATATAAATTAATAATATTAGGACTTCAAAATTTTATTAAATTATAGAGATATTTTTCGATTTAAATTTTTCATGTTCATCAAATAAAATATATGTTTTTAATAATGTAAAATTCATTCAGAAAATGTTATGTCAATAAATTTGAAAGATAAGTCAAACAATATTTATAAATTTAAAACAACAATATAATTATATTTTACTATATTATATTATTTATATATACCTAAATATATAAATTATTAATTTTTCTAATGATTGGGACCATCTTTTTACATAGAAATTTAAAAAAAGTTATTATCTTATTATTTTATTAAAATTTGTTAATTTTTACACTGGCTAGACTTAGAAATTTATATACTTAGAAATTTGTTTAAAATAATGTATTATCTTATTATCTTATAGAAATTTTAATAGGACACGAATCGGAAAACTCGCCACGTGTTACAATCATATGAATAACTAACTTTGATGTATATAACTTTATATAATACAATATATGTTTTTTTAAGGAGAATAACTATAAAATACCTAAAAATCATTTTATTAATAAATAAACTTTTCAGTTTGAAAAATTATACATTGTTTTTGGTATTCAAAGCACCTTTTAAGGTATCTCAAAAAAAAAGGATAAGCAATATGGCAAAGGTTATTTACTTGTTATTGGCAAATTTTGAGTAATTTACAAAAAAATCTCAATGTTTAACTACAAAAATGCCACTACAGAAATATCCAATATATAAAGTATGAGTCATTAAATCTATGAATTTAGACCAGCTCCAACGCTAGTCTCTGATATGAGTATTTTATAATAAAACAATTAAAAATAATATAAAAGTATGAGAGAAGAAGAGAGTCCATCTCTACTTTAAGAGACTTTGGATACGTCTCCAAACCTAAATAATTATGTGTCGTAATCTGATTAATTCAATTCTTTTAAATTTATAATTTTATTTATATTATTAATTCTATATATTAAAAGATAAGTATATTTACTAAAAAAAATCTGATGTGTCGTTGATGTGTTGCTTCCGCAATAAAACTTAGTACAAAACAATGCAAGGTTAGAAATGTGACTTGACGTTTTTTTTTTACGAAAGGAAATTTTGACACATCATTCAAAAACAAGAAATTCCTAGAAACATTGTTCATCCCCTCGAGAACAACCTGTTCATCAAAATTGTTCATTCCCATCAAAATTGTTCATTCCCACGACAACAAGCTGTTCATCAAAATTATTCATTCCCAGAAAAATTGTTCATCGGAGATATTGTTCATCAAAATTTCCAGAAAAATTCACAATCAATCTCGGCGACGGCGTTCATCCAGCGACAACAAGCTTTTCTACCATGGGGACAGATCTGGATGACAAACAATATTTCGTCGTATGATTTCTCCTCTATTTCTCAACACTTTCTCTTTTTCTGTTAAATCCCTCTAAATCTATTAGAATCTGATTTGGGTCTGTGTTGAAATTTGTCCAATTTCGAGGATATTGCTGAAGAGAGAGACGATCCCTCGCATCAGCCAAACCATGAGGAAGCTCTTCGCCACCAATGGATCTCCTTCTTTCCTTGACAGACTCAAAAATCTTCCCAAATATTTCCCCGCCACTAACGCCAAACGCGATGCCTCTCTGGTAAAAGCTTTTAAATCCCCGATCTTCTTTCTTCTGTCTTCTTCCGATGTCGTTTGATCAAATCCGTCTGTGTTATGTGTAGCTCATCGGAAGAACTCCTCTCGTGTTTCTCAACAAAGTCACTGAAGGATACGAAGCTTACATTGCAGCCAAGCAAGAACATTTCCAGCCCACTTGTAGCGTCAAAGACAGGTGATTGTCAAAATCTCGAATCTTCAAATCAAAGAAACCAAGTTTAAGTGATTTGATACTTGATTCTTGAAAATCATCTGTATAAAAGTGTTGATTTTTTTTTGATTATGTTGTCTCCAGACCAGCTTTAGCCATGATTCTAGATGCAGAGAGGAGAGTGACGATGAGATCCTTTTGGTGCAGAGCTTGTCCTCACTGACCTAGCCAAAGGAATGGGTGGAACTGTTAAGAAAGCTTATGACCTCCTTCAGAATACTCCTGATGCTCATATGCTGCAACAGTTTGCTAATCCAGCAAACACTCAGGTACTTAAATAGTTAAATAGATCCCCTTTTCTTTGCATTTTGTATCTCACACTCATGCGTGGAATATTGATGCAGATTCATTATGATACTACTGAGATTTGGGAAGATACGCTTGGGAATGTCGATATCTTCGTGATGGGAATTGGCAGTGGAGGCACAGTCTATGGCGTTGGCCAATACCTTAAATCTAAAAACCTCAATGTCAAGGTGATTTGATTTAGGTTTCTGAAGATATCTTGTGAATGTTAAAAAAAGGAGATTGGTTTTGATCATTAATGTCTTGCAAATGGTAGATATATGGAGTTGAGCCTGCTGAAAGTAACATACTCAACGGTGGCAAGCTTGGTGAGAATTTTGAATCTTTCTAACTGTTTCTCTGTTTATATCTTCTCTGATTCCTTGTTTGTGCGGTTGCTGATGGTTTGAGTATTGAACAACTTCGAGTTAGGTCCACATGCTATCACAGGAAATGGGGTTGGATTTAAGCCGGATATCTTGGATATGGATGTTATGGAGAGCGTTCTTGAGGTAATGTAACAAAACTCAAAGCTTCCATCATTTTAGCATTCTATCAACTTTTGAAAGCTTATGAACTGAGAATATGTGGGCGTGAGGAAACATGTTAGTAGTGAGGATGCTATAAAGATGGCTAGAGAATTGGCTTTGAAAGAAGGTCTCATGGTGAGTGGTTTGGAGATTAATGAAATAAACTAGAGTTTGGTTTTGCTTTGTTTGTTTTCTGATTCTAACAATGGGAAACTGATTTGTAGGTTGGGATATTGTTTGGGGCTAACACTGTGGGAGCAATTAGACTTGCGAAAATGCCAGAGAACAAAGGCAAACTAATTGTGGTAAGAGAGGAGAAAAACTGTTCTTTGGGTTTTTGTTTTGTTCTATGTGTTGTAATTTTTTATCGGATGGTGGAAAATTGTTTTTGTTTTGGACAGACGGTTCATGCAAGTTTTGGAGAGAGATACCTGTCGTCTGTTCTGTTTGATGAGCTGAGGAAAGAAGCATAATCGGTTTTGTTTGGTTTGATGAAGATTGACTCTTTCCTATAAGATCTCATCTTGGGAGCAAAAGATTTCAAAAAAAGACACAGCCCACCCTAATAAAAGTGTCATAAGTAAAATGTTTGTTTTCTCTTCATATTTGGATACTTGAAGAATAATTATGTTAATGTTGGATACTGGAAATAAAAATTAAAAATGTTTTTTACAGGTTAAAAAAGGGATTTTGCGCTGATAATTTAATTAACTGATTTTTATGAAACCAAATAATTATTTTTGTTCTGGAAATATAAATATTATATAGTAAAAATTCGATAAATTAATAAACTCGATAAATTAATAATTTTGTTCGATCCAATTTGGAATCGATTCAAAATTTAATACAAATTAATAAATTTATAAGATAATAATTTTTTTGAAAATTTATATAAAATATAGTTTCATTAGAATCATAAATTAATAAATATAATATAAAATAAGTGAATATAAATATATAATTATAATAATTTATTAAAATATAAATATATTACTATTTTCATATTAAAATTGAAATAATTTTATCATTTATCTCTAATTTTATAATAAAAATTTTAAAAATATTATAATTTTGAAAAAAAATATTATCTATAAAAAATATTTTATCCAAAATTAATAAATTAATAAAATATTAAAATTCTAACATTATTAATTTATAGAATTTCTACTATATAAAATAAATAAATAATCATTATTCTTTTTCTCTATTTTAAAAAGACACAAAAATTTTTAAAAACTTACTATTAGCAGCATTGACTGTTAAATAAGGAGGAATAATACTAACAACGACTATTGATCAATAGCAGTACAACATAATCAAACATTTTGACTAGATAAAGAAAATAATCTAAATTTAATAAAACCGATAAATGCAAACCCAGTTTTGATTACCAGATGCCATTGTCAGATGATTTCTATAATTACAATGGTAAGATGAGCGGAATTATATCACAGAAGATGAATGTAAAGAACATGAAAAACTCGTTGAAATGATTATCGATGAGCAAATAGTGAGCAAATAGCAGTTTATGAAGAAATTATAGATGCAATATTTATGCTTTTGATATTGTAAAACTCTATTTATACATTTAATAGTTTTAATTTATTTAGTTATTATATTTACATTTTTTATTCTAAGGAACCATTTAATATTCTTTATTAATACTTTTATTATTAAAAAATTTCTATTACGAGAAATAAAATGTTCTATTTCAGTTATTATTAATGTTATTATTAAATGTTTAATGCTATTATTAATACATAAATGATCATATAAATAGAAAAAAATTAATATACTATATTTATTTTAAATTCAACATATAAAATGTTTTATAACCCATACACGGTGCGGATCAATCATCTAGTTTATATTATTATAATATAAGTAAGATACCAATGATAAGAGGCGATCCATTGCGGATGCTCTTAGTCATGGGAGACATATTTGGTATTGGTAGACTTATTTGGAGTCTTAGATTTGTTATCGTTTTCGTAGATTTAATTAGTAGATTTGTGTTTATGAGATGCAGATTTTATTAGAATATGTAGATTTATTGGAATATTGTAGATTTGTGTTCGCAGATTTAGTAAACAAATGTTAAAATAGGTAGAGTTGTTCTCGAGGGAGGGTAATTCATATAGTTTATTTATTTGTTGTAGAGTGATGTAATACTCGGTTAGGAGTTTACGGTGATCAGAGTGGAGGATTTGGTGGAGACAACACACTGGCTTTGACGCTCTCTTGTGCTGACTAAGGGGTGTGAATGGTAGAACAAGGCGTGATGGTCACTCCTTGAGCCGAGGTGGGATCTGTCAAGCTGGCTATAACGCTCTCTCTTGAGGGATCGAATGAATGGTGAAAAGAAGTGGATTGATGGCACCACAGAGAGGATGGAGGGCTCCCTGATAGAGCAACACTTAGTCTTGCACGAGTCACACGAACAAGAACAAATCAAGAACAAAAGGCAAAGCGGCGGCTATTGCTTTTGGAAGAAAGTTCAGTCTTTATTGATAATGTAGGGTAAAAATCATACAACGCTGCAGGGGAGCTTTATAAACAGCTCGTCAGCTAGCCCTAAGGCCGAAATAAAAGTAAAGAAACGATAACACAAAACAAAAGAAAAGCTACAAAACGCATAAGGCAAAAATACATGAAAATGGAAAGTTCACTTAACTAAAAAGAAAATAAAAGCTAAACGTAGCCGAATCTCTTGTGGCTCGAAATGGTGGTTCCTTGGCGTGTTGGGATGCTTAAGAACCATTGAGGCAAGCCTCAGTACCTGCACAAATTGTATAAATTGAGAATACCTGGTTTTGGCGCGCTTGATGCTTGTTTGGTACGTTGGCGAATGTGGCTTGTTCTGGTGCGGTTGGGGCGAGTTTCTCAACGTTCTCTTCGTACTGATGAGTGTAGAAGTCGAGCTGGTACGTGTCTTCATGAGGTTCTCCACGTTCGGGGCTTGATTCATCTTCATGCTCCAATGATGCTCTATCGGCTTCTATACTTGTACTTGGTGTGGCTCGCGGCTTTGGTACAGTCTTGGTGGGTTTGTTGATGTTCTGAACGTCATTTCCTGTCAAACAAACTTTCATACCTTGGTTTATGCTAGTACGATCGTCTTTGAGGCTCATCTTGGCAAAGTCCTCGGTAATGTCTAGTTCGGGTGCAATGGGGAATGGTTGGGGGCTAAGTATGTTCTCCACGTCCATGTTGGTCAAAAGTGTTTGTATTGCCTCGTTGAACCCTTCTCTCAACCTCCTGGTCTTAGAACGTGTCATGGGAGAGCCATGTACGGATGGTATGGTGTTCGAGTCCGGCTCCCTTGGTACTGGTACGGGCTGCTGGTCGTTGCTACCGTCATCCTCTCGACCCGGTACGGTCAAACGGTCCATGTCCTCATCATCCCCTCCCCCTTGGCGAGGTTTTGTCCTCAAAAATGGATCATCTGCATCATAAGGGGATAAGTCAGTAACATTAAAGCTATGGGATATGTTAAACTCACCTAGAAGATCTAAACGGTATGCATTGTCATTGATCTTTTCTAGAACTTTGAATGGTCCATCTCCTCGCGGTGCAAGCTTAGAACTCCTCTTTTGGGGAAACCTTTCTTGTCTCATGTGTAGCCAGACTCATTCTCCTGGCTCAAACGTCATCTCTCTTCGCTTCTTGTCAGCATGTTTCTTGTAAGCTTCCGTCTTCTTCAAGATGTTCTCTCGGACCCTCTCATGTAGCTTCTTAATGAATTCACCTTTCCTGAGACCATCTAGATTAACTTGCTCAACTTGGGGAATTGGCGAAAGATCAAGTGGGGTTAGTGGGTTAAAACCATAAACAACCTCAAATGGGGACATTTTAGTAGCTGTGTGAACAGCTCGGTTGTAAGCAAATTCTATAAATGGTAAACAATCAACCCAAGTTTTTAGATTCTTGCCAAGAGTAACTCTAAGTAGAGAGGAGAGAGTACGGTTTACCACTTCAGTTTGGCCATCTATTTGGGGGTGGCAAGTGGTTGAGAATAGCAGCTTCGTACCAAGCTTCCTCCATAGAGTCCTCCAAAAGTGGCTCAGGAATTTTGTATCACGGTCGGAGACAATGGTCCTTGGCAAGCCATGTAAGTGCACCACCTCCTTGAAAAACAAGTCAGCCGTTTGTGTAGCATCGTTCGTTTTGTCACATGGTATGAAGTGCGCCATCTTTGAAAACCGGTCCACCACAACAAAGATTGAATCCTTGTGTTTAATCTTGGGCAAACCTAGGACAAAATCCATAGACACATCCACCCAAGGTGCGTTAGGGATAGGCAAAGGTAAGTAAAGGCCGTGAGGGTGTAACCTGGACTTTGCTTTGTGGCAAGTGACACATCTAGAACAATGTTTCTCAACATCTCTCTTCAGGTGTGGCCAGTAGAAATGATCAGCCACCATCGCCAAAGTTTTGTTAACTCCAAAGTGACCCATAAGGCCTCTACCGTGTGCTTCTTTGAGTATCAAGTCCCTCATTGAACATTGTGGAATGCATAACCGCTTGTCTTTGAATAAGAACCCATCGTGTAGGTAGAAGGAGGTGAAAGCTCCTTTGCCGTGCTCCTGATAGGCTTCTCCTCGTTCCGGGTCCTCCTTGTAAAACTCCTTTATATGCTCAAATCCAAGTACCTTAGCCTCCATGGTGGATATCAAAGCATACCTCCTTGATAGTGCATCGGCTACTACATTCTCTTTGCCTTTCTTGTACTTGATCACGTACGGGAATGTCTCTATAAACTCCAGCCACTTAGCGTGTCTTCTCTTGAGGGATGTTTGCCCTCTCAAGTGCTTGAGTGTCTCGTGGTCAGTGTGAATGATGAACTCCTTGGACAACAAGTAATGCTGCCATGTCTCTAAAGCTCTCACCAATGCGTAGAGCTCCTTGTCGTACGTTGGGTAGTTCAGTGTAGCTCCACTGAGTTTCTCACTAAAGAAGGCTACTGGCTTCTTTCTCTGATGTAACACAGCTCCTATGCCTAAGCCAGAAGCATCGCACTCCACTTCAAACATCTCGTCAAAGTCTGGTAAGGCTAGAACCGGCGCCTCGGTCAGTTTCTCCTTCAAGGTGTTGAATGCATTCTCTTGAGCTGCTCCCCACGAGAATGGTGTGTTCTTCTTGATCACGGCAGTGAGTGGTGCAGCTATGGTGCTAAAGTCTCTCACGAATCGGCGGTAGAAGCTAGCTAACCCATGAAAGCTCCTCACATGACCGATTGTAGAAGGTGTAGGCCATTCTCTGATTGCCTTTATCTTCTCCTCGTCAACTTGTAGTCCCTGTTTACTTACTACAAAACCTAAGAACACGATTTGATCAGTACAAAAGGTGCACTTCTTAAGGTTGGCATATAGACCTTCCTTTCGAAGTGATTTAAGCACTAGTTCGAAATGTTTAAGATGATCAGCTAAGTTCTTACTATAGATAAGTATATCATCGAAATAAACAACTACGAATTTGCTTATGTATGATCTAAGAACCTGGTTCATGAGTCTCATGAATGTGTTTGGGGCATTGGTTAAGCCAAAAGGCATCACTAACCACTCGTACAGCCCTTGTTTGGTCTTGAAGGCGGTTTTCCATTCATCTCCTTCCCTCATCCTAACTTGGTGATAACCGCTTTTGAGGTCCACCTTTGAGAAGATTGTTGAACCGCTTAGCTCGTCCAACATGTCATCTAACCGCGGTATAGGGTGGCGGTACTTGATG